TAATTCTTAGTATTGCTACTTTTGGTTTACCTTTATTCTTTTTGTGCTAACATTTTTATTTCATTAAACGCCACCCGTATAACGAATCGTGCTTTTTTTTTTTTTTTTGTGTTTACCACGTTAGTACTCCCCGGCGGGGAATCGAACCCCGGTCTCCCTCGTGACAGGCGGGGATACTTACCACTATACTACCGAGGATGCGTATTTAATTGAATACAACTTTTCTAGTCAAAAATTAAATTTAATCATATTATTACAAAAATAAAATTATGAAAATCGAGGTGAGTTTTTGTTGATTTTATCGATAGACGAAATTGAAAAATGATAAACACTAGTAATTCATTAAGGTAAACATTACTAAGTTAAGTATATTATTTCTAGACGATTCTAATCAATTCACTGAAGAATTTTTGGACGAGTTGAAAAATTGGGATAATTCAATGAAAGACAGAGGTCTTACCCATGAAGATCTTGGTAAAATAATTGGACAAGCCGTTACTGAGAAAGTTTGCCCAAATGTCAACGTAAAAGATTGTCCCAGAATAGTGCAGGGTTGTTGTTATCATTATGTAAAAGATGCAAGATATGACATGAAACCAGTCCACATTAAGACGATGGACCGTTTACGTGATAATCTCATTGACTATAAAAATTACCGGCATATTTCAAATGACATGAAACGTCTCTTAAGTATATATTAATAATTATAAATTTTATTTCTTCATAGAAAAATAAACAATATATTATTTTGTATTAAATTATTTATGCAAAATTAAACACGATTAAAATAATGTAAAAGAATAATTTTCTATTAATTTATAACATAATGTGACTTATTAAAATATAGATAAAATCTAATTGATTTCTAGCTGTAAAAAGAAAAAATGACAAACTAAAGTTCTAAATTAAGTTATTTATAACAAAAAATAATAGGATAATATGAAATAGAAAATATTTTATAAAATAAATAATGTGAAATTTTAGATAAGCAGTCGCATATCAGAATTTTCATTACGAAAAGGCTAATTATCATTTGAACAATTATCTAATGTTCGTTTTTTAACTTTTAATACTCATAATTTACCTAATAAAATAGGTGCATTGTTACTAATTAATATTTAACCCGGACAATGAGAATGTTCAGTTTTAATACTCTTGACATTTTTTACCCTTAAATAAGCTATTTTATTAACATTGTAAGCTTAACTCATATTATACCAGCTAAGCTTAACAAGACCCGGAGGAGTATCCACAAAGGACTGAGACAAGTCTAAGGCAAAACTGGATCGCAATCTATTTTGTACCTTATCCTAAAGGGAAATAGGATATATGAATAACAGTTATGAATGAAACTAAAAATGACTAAAATGTATTACATATTATAAATTAATTTTGTAATAAACATAACAAAGTTAAAATTTAGCCCACTCTGCAAATACATAGATTTAAAGAATAAGATATAAGAACAATAATAAAAAACCAAGCACAGTGGAGTCGTGGCATAGTGGGGACGTGAACTAGTTGGGTCCAATGTAGATTTAATCTGACAATGATTAAATTCACTATTATAAAAAAACGCTTCCATGCAAATCTGTAGACAATGTTTAATTTAAAAAAAATTGTAGATCATTCCAAAAGCTACATGATCTGCTATTTCCTTATTTATATCCTGATTAAGATAAAGTATGTCGAATGAAAGAGGTATATAAATATTATCTCATAACAAAATTATATTCATCCATATACTTTTCAATAAGTTAAAGCATTATAAAGTTAAAAATGTAAAAAATAAAATCTAGAATTTTCACACAAAAATAGCATTCGGTAACTATTTTCAACGTGAAGACAAAATAAAGCCCGAAATGTATCAGTATTTCCGGAACACTTTCAATAGTTGTGTTTAAAAAGTTAATTTTTTGTGAAAAAGTTGTAATTTTGAATCCCCCTCTGTGGGCAGGTAAAGTATCAGATTAATAAAAAAAATAAACAAAAGGATAAATAAATCCCTTATATATCTATAAAAAAATATATATCTTTAAAAAATATTATATTGATTTGGTCATTTTTAAATTTTGAAAAAGTTATGACAGTTTTAATTAAAAAGAATTTCAAAAATTAGTGATTTTTAAGTTTGTAATTTTTTAGTAATTTTCCCCATTTACTGGGAACGAGGGAAATTTTTTCAATTTTTAAGGGTATGTCTTCAACTAGATACGATTTGTGATTTTTTACGTATTCTTTTTATTTTACGTATTTTACGTATCGTTGAAAGAAATCTGATCGGTGAGAGCTGAGAAAAAGTGGTAACAGACCAGTGGCGCAACTAGAGTTCAAATCTTGGGGGTGCTACAATTACAAATCACATACACATTACATATTTACTAATTATTTACAGTAATTACTAATTAGTATTAGTTATGTAATATATAATTATAAAATATAATATAGATTCTAATTCTTTTTTCTGTACCTAAATGTACTACCAACTACCTAAAAAATCGGCCATTTTATAGAATGATGAGTATTGCTAATAAAGACCTATCAGCTTTATTATATTATTAATTGTTGTATTTTTGTATTTTATATGATTATTGTACATATAAGTTAAGTTTATTATACTGAAATTTGGTCATGTACTGTATTGAGAATATAAATAAATATTTGAAATTACAAAGACGTGGACCTTGGGGGTGCTTCAGCATCCTCTAGCACCCCCGTAGTTGCGCACTGTAACAGACACAAAAAAGAAAAAAACACATCATAGTAAAATTAATACCTTTTCAGCTTCGCATCGAAGCTAAAAACATTCATGTGTATAATACACAAAAAAAAAAATTTTGAAAACAAATATAAAAGCATGATCTCAAAATTATGAAATCAAATGAATTATTTTAAATATTATCAATGTAGAAGAAGAAACGATGAAAGAGAGAGTAGGATTATTTTATTTTACTGTAATTAATCCAATAACGTTCAAAGTATTATTTATTAAATAATTAGTTATAAATTAAACTAAATATTTACAATGATTTTTCTTTGTTTTTAACTATGTCATTAGACCAATTAAATATAACTAAGTTAACATATTTTGGTCTAGGATATCAATTAACCAAAGCGTATTTTTTATAAAATAATAATACCATACAAATTGGCTTTAATACAACATATCTATCAATATACTTTCATGGTTCATAATTAAAATGAAAATTAACTAAATCATTTTTTCAATTTAAAATCATAGTCAAGAGTTATTATTGACAAGTTTTCAATTTTCAAAAATAATTATTTTTAACTTTATAGTTAAATATGTGAATTGGCATTTAAAAAAGTAAAGGTTACACCCTTATATTGGATAAAAAAGTAAATGAAATATTAAATATAAATTTTTAACTTAAATTATAAATATAATTAATATCTGATATATATAACTAAAAAACACCAAAAATAAATTCTTAACATAATTATCATAAAAAAAATCTATTAATTAGACTTAAGACAATAACTTCTTGTATTATACAACGGAAATAAAAAAAGAAAAAACCAGTTAGGCAGTTAAAAAATTTTCCGTCGCAATTTTGGTTGTCGATCGCGCCATTTCGCAACAGATTGTTACCAACCAACATTTTAGGTTTTTTATTATTTATAACTATATTTTTGTTAAATTACATTTTTACATTAAGTAATGTTGATTTTATTGTAATAATAAGAATATTTTTTTGAACATATACAAGTATTAGAAACTAAATTGAAAAAAGATTTGTATTAGGAAAATAAATAAATGTTCGGTCTAAGATTATATACAGAGTGATTTATTAAGCATAATACACTTCCTTCATTTTTTTGTTATATAATGATTTTTTTTATAAAAATATATAGATTAAAATTCAATTCATTATTATAAATCATTGTAAATGTACAGGTCATTGTAGAAAGAAATTATTCCTAAAAATAAATTTTAGGGGTAACTTTCAAAAGTTAAATGAGAATCTATTATTATTTTTTTTTTACTATTAAATGAATAATGGTCTAAATACATTTTTGACTGGTCGATAAGCAGTGTTGTGTTATTACCTTTTGAGTTGTTATAACTTTTAGTTATAGACAAAGAGGTACACAACATAGAAGAATTCTCATCCTATACGTTATGATAAAAATAAAGCGTCTTTAAACACTACCACGTTGTTCACCTTTTTATAATCTTCAAATGATAATGTCTCTAAAAGTTATAATACAAAACTGGTTGACGACCAATCAAAATTGCTCGGGGGGTGCAGCTCGTACTGGTGTATGTACACTCCGCTTACGTTCCATATCGATTTTATGTATTCAAATGAATTAAATATATTCATATATTAATAAATTCAAATAAATTTTTAGTAAGAAAAAGTCTAAAAAATAACTATTTAAAATTTTTGAAGAATAAATAGTAAAAAATACATTAAATGCAGTCTAAAAAGACAATATCGTTTTATAAAAGAATTTTATCAACATGATAATTACATAAAAAGTGTTAGTAAATTAGATTCGATACACTCAGAATATTATCTTTAGGTTTTTTTGACATTATGAAAATAATAGATTTTTGGATAAAATAATTAGAATTTGAGTTATTTGAATTCAGAATTCTAATAGTATATAATTGAATTTTTTTTTAATACACATATGTTTTCTTATTGCTTATTATAAACTGCCATATGTCACAATATCCAATATCATCTACGCACACATCATTAACACACATATTAATTTAGGTTAACTGTATTACTTTTTAAAGTATTAACTTTAGGTAATTTTTGGTCAATAGACTATAGATGAAAAAACTATTTTAATATTGAGCGGTAAAACTAGATTCTTTATTTTCGATAACATTGAAATCAAATAATATAAGTCAAATAAAAACTCAGTGAATAATATGAACATCTATTTTAGTAAAAATAATAACCATAAGTGCAATTTTAGAAAATACCAATACAATAAAAAACTATAATTAAATATAATTTATTATTAAAAGCAAAAATATTATAATACGATTTTTTTTACTTAATATTTGATTCAGTTAATCATTGCTGATCAAAATTTAAAATAAAATATGTTGCCTAAAGTGGTTTTGTTATTTATACTCCTATTTGTAAGTAGTAAAGTAGATAAGACAGAATTTAAAATTACAATAATAACTATTATATGTTTAACTCAAAATATTTTACGAAAGAGTAATATTTAAAAGTATTATTTATTATTTTAATTTAGGTGCTATTCGTTTTAAATATAGATACAACAGATGGCGAAGTTGTAATTTCGGAGAATATGTTGCAGGACTGTTTAAATGAAAAAGAATTTCATCATCATGTTGTTTTTATGCGTAAGTATTGTTTATTGAGCTTAATTATTTGAACGTGGTTAAACGGTTGATAATTTGTCTTTGTAGATACTGGTACTTTCAAACTAAATTTTAAATATATACTTTATCTAATAAAATTTACTGCCATACAAGATAAAATGACTGTTGATGAGATGAAGAAACTATGTCATAAAAAACTTTCACATTATATTTGTTCGCCTTATAAAAATGAAAAAAATTTCGAATTATTAAGAGAATGTATAGCACTAGTAAAGAAATGCAGTAACGAATACACAGATTATGTATATGATTCAGAGAAAATTGGCAAATCGTTTTCGCAATTGAATTCCAAAAACAAACACAGAATAATTCCACGTTGGCTTTTTAATTCTAAACAAGATACTAATGATAAGTTGTAGTTATTTAAATCATCATCATATTTCCATGATTTTAATCTAAATATTATTATCATGGGGGCTAAGGGGGGCTGTAATACAAGATGATAAGTTGATGAACAAAAATTAAACATCAGCACTATTATAAAAGCATTTTTAAAACAGATTTAACAATCTATAGCTAGATAAATTTTATTACAAAAACAGTGAACAATAATAACATTATTAAATACATTTTTATAAATACACTGGTAATGTCTTTTTATTTTAAAATAAAATAAAATATCACCTTCAAAAATAACTTGTATTTTTTCTGGAATATTCTGTCTATCGAGTTCCTCGCTATTTTGTTTTTATTCCAATTACAAATAATAAAATATTCTGAACGTAAGTATTTATTAATAAGATAATTAACGCAATCTAATAAAATACAAGAACTTTAATGTTAAAAATAATTTATCCATAAGTAACCATTTTATTATTAACTTCATTCGAATTTCAATAATTTAAAAAAAGGAATGCATTGATCTTATAATAAGTTATTCACTAAACAAAAAATATACAAACAGTTACAGAGAATCAATTTTTTATAATTGCAATTAAAATATAACTTTGAAAAAATAGTGTCTTCTTCTTCTTCCTCGTCTTAATCGCTACACCTATACTCCCACTTACATGCTCGTTCTTTATTCTATCTTTTCTAGTCACTCCACTCATCCATCTAAACATTCTCATCTCTGCTACACTCATTCTCTGCTCTACTTTCTTATCAACCGTCCAACACTCTGAACCATACATCATAGCTGGCCTTATTACAGTCTTGTAGAATTTACCTTTCAGCCTCATTGGAATTTTTTAATTCTTCATAACACACCAGACGCTTCTCTCCATTTCAATCACCCGCACTTAATTCTGTGTCTTACATCTTCGTCAATACCACCGCTCTTTTGCATAACTGACCCTAAATACTTAAAACTCTCTACCTCTCCAATCACGTCCTCGCCTATTGTCAGTGTCCTCCTCATTTCACCTACCTCGTGTTCTCCTTTGTCAAACTCGTACTTTATAAAATCTGTCTTACTTCTACTTATTCTTAAACCCTTTTCTTCAAGAGCTGATCTCCAAACCTCTAGCCTTTGATTAATTTCCTCCCTATTTTCTCCTATTAACACTATATCGTCTGCAAACAACATGCACCACGGCACCTCTCCTTGTATTTATCTAGTAATTTCATCCATCACTATAGAGAATAAGTAAGGACTTAAAGCAGAACCTTAGTGCACTCCTACTCTTACCCAAAAACCTTCTGATATTTCTCCTACGCTTTTTACCCTGGTACAAGTGCCATCATATATATCTTCTATTATATTAATGTACCTTTTCGGGACTCCTTTTCTCATTAATGCCCACTTTAAAACCTCTCTTGGTACTCTGTCATACGCTTTCTCCAAATCTATAATTACCATACACAGCTTTTTCCTCTTTTCCCTAAACTTTTCTATTAGTTGCTTCACACAAAATAATGGCTCCATTGTTGATTTACCAGGCATAAAACCAAACTGGTTTTTAGATACCGATGTCTCATTTCTTACTCTCTTATCTATTACCTTTTCCCAAATTTTCATACTATGACTGATAAGCTTTATACCTCTATAATTTTCACACTACTGTATGTCTCATTTACCTTTAAATATCGGCACCACAATACTATTCCTCCATTCATTTGGTATTTTCCCTTCTAATAAAATCTTATTAGAAGGGAAAATTTTTTTCACTATTTTTGAAAAAATAGTGTCTCAGTCAAAAAAATAATTCAATATCATTTTCCATAGTAAAATAATAAACATAATAAACAAAGAATAACAATGATCAACAAAAAACAACCCAGCACAGGGGGGTCGCGGCNAAAAAAACCCAGCACAGGGGGGTCGCGGCACAGTGGTGACGTGGCAAAGTTGGATCAAGTATAATGATATCTGACAGTGATTAAAATCACTATCAAAAATAAACGCTTCGATGCAAATCTTTAGATAGTGTTTAATTTTAAAAAAATTGGTGTTTTATTCCAAAAGCTACTTGATCTGCTGGTTCCTTATTAACATCTTGATTAAGATAAAGTATGTCAAATGAAAAAGGGTTTATTAAAAAAAAATTATTTCTCATAAAAAAATTGTGTGGATCCATAAACTTTTCAATAAGTTATAGCATTATAAAGTTAAATATAATATAAATAATAAAATCGAGAATTTTCACACGAAAATAGCATTCGGTAGCCATTTTCGCC